AAGTTCAATTGAATTAGTAGCAATTGTTAAATAACTGATTGGCAAAGAGATGGGGAAAAAAGTGTATTTTCAAGCACACCTAATTTGCTATTCTGCTCACTTTTACTCAGATCACATATTTATATAATATACACAATACAAAAGCTATTGAAGTAATAATTCTTAACAAAAAATATCCAAACAACTACCAAGTTTACAGAATTTTTAAAAAAAATATTTTCCTCTTGCTCATGTCAGGGATAAGCTGTATTATTCACTTCAAACATTCTTTCTATACCATTTCTTCAACCTGTTGAAGGTTGGGTTTTAGGGAGGGATGAAAAGAATTATTTGTGACAAACAAGTTTCATAGGCTTATCCTAATCAGAATAGGAGGAGCACATTATCTTTTTTTTCTTAAGTTTTTTAAAATTTCCCTTCCATGAAAGAAAAAAAAAGTGCTCTGCCAGCTCTAGAGACGGGTACTTTTGTCTTCCTATTCATGCAATTGTATATCAAGTCAGACTATTAGTAAACCAAATTCAATATTATGTATCCTGCCTAGCAGGTTTCTAAGATTTCAGATCTTTTGAAGTTGTTCTTGCCAGCAACACTTTACAAAGAGGTTGGGATTTGTCTCCTAGAACTTTGGATTTGGGCTTAGGCATACTTAATCAATATAAAATTGAGACATAAAACTGGGCTAATTAAAAATGCATTCAATTAGGCTTTTGAAGTAATTTTTTTAAAACACATCTTTTGTACAAAAGAAGGAAGCACATTCGTATTCTACTGCAGGCTTAATACGAAACAAAATAGGAAGTGAATGAAGCTCTAGTGCTATCTGCTGTATTAGTCTAGAATTGCTCCAAAGAATTGCATTAATTCAACATCTAACATTCACTTGAAGAAACATTAAACATTTGTGTGTCTTTTAAAATGCATTTTGGGAAAAAGAGTTATTAATATACAGCTTCAGTAGTTGAGTGAAATTTATTCAGTACTCCGATAGCATTTTACTCCAAAGTGAATTCAACTTCTATACACATTTCCTCGCCTCTTTTAGTAGTCCATCCCCATCTTTATTACTTTACTATCTTGACCACACTGTCATCCTATTAGATAGTGATGAAATTCAATTTTTTACTACCGGTTCTGTGGGCATGGCTTGATGGGCGTGGCAGGGGAAGGATATTGCAAAATTTTCATTCCCACCCCACTCTAGGGCCAGCCAGAGGTGGTATTTACTAGTTCTCCAAACTAATCAAAATTTCTGCTATCAGTTCTCCAGAACCTGTCCGAACCTGCTGAATTTCACCCCTGCCTTTCCTAATCCATACCTTTCCTAATCCATAGTATTTAGTCTTCTAGTACTAAATTTTTAAGCAAACTCTTATCCTGAGGACTTTGGATGCTGTTTTTTAATCACATTTTAAATTTTTGTTTGATTTTATGGGCACTATTCCAGTTTCAATATTGTGATCTCCTCTTTCCCTCTGTTCAACAGTATACTTTATCTATCTTTTATTAAATCCCATGTATTATTCAAAGTTAAGTCTGGGGCTGTTCTTTTCTAATCAAAGTTGTCATCCGTTTTGCACATCATGATTTATATCTAATTACGTGTTCATAGCTTGCTCTTATGCAACAAAGACAGTTCCAAGGTACAGCGCTCAGTATAAAGTTGTGTACTCCTATCCTATCGGCGTAACAACTAACAAAAGCGCCTTCGCGTTATAATGTAAAGCTAGTGCAAATACATTATGATGAATAAGCAGCCCTAGATTATTTCGCAATAATAGCAATAATAAACATTTAGTAAACTTGTCCGTACACGGTATTAGGGGTCGCAAAACAAGAGATCACCTTCGGCGCCCCCACTCCAGGATACCAGAGAGAGACTCGATTTAATTTTATAGCCCAACTTAAATCTATTTCTAGCTTGTACTTTATAGGCGCCGCCTCAATCGTCTTTATCTCCTGGGCATTTCCTCCAAGAATCCTCTCCTTCTTGCTTTTCAGCCAGCGGGACCCTCCATTTCTTCTCCACCCACCAACTCGGACCAATTCCTACTACACAGACTCCATTCCCACGACTGCCAATGGATCGGTCAATTCCTGCCTCGGTTCTAATTACAGCCTCCGTCCTGCCGGACGGCCGGATCCCCGAACCTTAAAACACATCTGCTTTTGCAGCAACACTTCACCCACCACTGGGACAGCTGCTGCTCTGCATGGAAGCCTCCGGTCATTCCCACGTTACGTCTCCCGTTACATCCTGGTACGGGCAAAACTTCCAATTGCTAGCGCCTCTTTCCCTTTTCCTTTCTCGCCCATCTTAAATCCTAACCTAGAACGTCCAAGCTGAACTCGTTGTTGTTGTTTCCCCACTGTTCGTTTTTCTCGGCCCATTTCCCTAACCTTTTTGAAGCCTCCCGCGCACTCTTCCCTCGTCTCCATTTCACACTGCCTTCCCTGGGTTAGATTTGGCGCTCAGAACACCCGCGTGGCGTGCTGGGAAATGTAGTTCCTGAAGTCCCACCCTCAAGCGTTTACTTCCGGAGAAGAAGCGGGGGTGGGGTGGGCACCCGCCTTTTCTAACCAAGAGGCATGCTGGGAAGCGTAGTTAATTTTTTTTGTTCCTCCCGCCTTTCAGTCCCAGTGTAAAGCTGCTGATATGAAAAGAGGCGGGAGGCTTAAGTTAGAAGTTTCATTTTAGGACAGGAAAGAAACCTGAGCTGGGGTCAGTGCCTGAGAGCATTGAGTCATGCTCCAAGGATGAAGGAAATAGGGAAAGAAGGGGGAGCGATCACAATAGGAGAGTCTTGATTACAGTGAGTAAGCCGCCCAGGGAGGCCACCCTTGGCAGCTCAAGGCATTGCGCCGCCAAGGTGTCCTGCTTTGTGAACCCGCTTCTCATCGACGCTTGCTTAGCGGTTCCGCTTACTTTGGTTTTTGGTTTTTTATTTGCTTATTTCGTCAAGCATGTATTAGACAACATATATATATGTATAAACATGATTTTGGATACATGAAATGGATACGAATACAAGGGAACATTAGGACAGGGACGGTAGGCAGGCTGGTAGCCTTTTGCTCATCAGTCCTCTTTGCTGAAAAGTTGTGAGAATTGACTGTGGGTGGACGTTGCGTGGATCTTATTAAATCACATAGTCCTGAACTTTAGTTCTTTGCTTGTGGGACTTCCATCCAAGAAAATAAGTGGATTGACGGTTTAGGACTGAGATCTATGTCTGTAGAGCCATAATATCTTGAACTCCTAGGACTTACTTATAGATACAGAACTGTTTGCAACTCAACTCCATTGAATTCACTGCTGTAAATCTAGCTTTAAAAAGTGGCTTGGGGGTCTGGAGTCTTATTTTCTAAAGGCAATTCCGCTAGGACTTGACTTCAGTAAACCTGTTTAGGATCTTGCTTTAAATCTAATAATTTAGAAGTCCCTTTAAGTGGTTCCCCACCAACAAGTTATCTTTAATAGCTGATTCCTTTCTTCTTTTTCTTTTCCCTCCTCCTTACACTTCTGTTTAATTTTTTCACTTGTAAGTATTTAAAGAGAGATGAACGTGAGTTTAGGGTTTAATGTTGAAAATTCACCAAAAACTTTTAGAAAGGATTAAAAATAAATAATTGCTGGGATATTTTCGAATAAAATGTAGGAGGACTAGGGAGTTGTGTGCATTAAATGTTTTCAAGCCTTTTTAATCACATTTTAAAAGATTACATTGTATTAATTCATATCGAATGAAACAAAGTATTTCTAGAAAAGATTCCACAGGCTTCAAAACTATGACATACCGTGCTTCCCCGAAAATAAGATAGGGTCTTATTTTCTTTTGACCCCCGAAATAAACACTTGGCATTACTTTTGGGGAGGTCTTATTATTTTTGAGGTGCAGGAGGCAATGAGCCTGGTCACCTCATGGCTGCTGCTGTGTTGTAATATTTTGGGGGAGGGCTTATTTTTGGGGGAGGGCTTATTTTAGCACATGCGCTCAAAAGCCCAATTGGGCTTATTATCTGGGGAAGTCTTATTTTCAGGGAAACAGGATATTACATGATTTAAGGACCAATTCAGTTTGGGGTGGGTGAAATACTCTTAAATTGTTTCAGTGCTTGGCCTGTGGGAGTAGATTCAGTTTCTGAGTGATGAACACATAAGTGTCAGTTCATTTAATTTGAACTAATTTAAAGGAAATGGATTATTACTGTCTAGAATACAGAAACACAAAGTGCCTATTGTAATTATACATAGTATGCTACATTATCTTCTCACAGACCACAACACCATAATGGCAACAGGATGATCCTAAAACAAATATCTGGGGAGAGAGGCATCAACTTGGCGCCTTTGTGCAAAACTTTGGCTCCATCCCTACATTTTAAATTAAATTAAAACATTAGCTTGTTGACACACAAAGAATAGACAAACTTGCCAGATGTCGCATGTTTGCAGAATGTGCAATCCAGATTTTGACAATAAAACCCACACACTGAGTTTCAAGGAATCCTGTACAAAAACCACACACACACACACACACACACACACACACACACACACAGGGCTGCACACATGTTTATGGTAATGAGTGGTGTCTCAACTCCACCAGAAGATACAACTTCAAAGAATGCAATTGGTATATTTTATCTCAAAACACAGTTGTGCCATAAAACAATCACTAAATGTATTATTTATTTAGTTGGATCATTTTTATTTTTCTGCCAAAACAGGATCTTAAGCATGTTTTAACTGATATCTTTGCTCTTGGCCATTTTATTGAACAAATATACTCCCTATAGTGTAAATCTACTGTTTCTCAGTAGGGAGAAACAACGCCAAAGAAACACCATAATTAAAATGCTTCTGAACTACAGTTCCCAGCATGCTCTATTTCCCAGGTAATAAGATGTAGAAGACAAGATATTTAACTACAGTTCCCAACATGCTGCAGTCCCCTTAGTTACAAAAGTAGGCATTGGCAGTTGAAGGGCGAGGCTTTAGTTCTAGCAACCCTCAGCAAGGTTTTGAAGCAAGTTTGATTGTTTGTCTCAAGGCTTCTAGTAACAGAGGTATAAGACGGGGAAGATGGTTTCAACATTTGGAGATTACTTAGATTAGGTTCAAATAAGATCACTAAGCAAAATGTGCTCTGGCAATAACCGGCGGTTGTTGTTGTCCACCAGGCTACCGGCTGCTGCCTTTTGATCTTGCCATCAGTCTTAACCCCTTATCTACATGGGGGAATGAGTGAAGCTGATGCCTGCCACAGAGATGGATGCCTTCCGACAGTCTTATACTAGGCTGTGCAAAGAGAGCGGTGCTGAGCCTCAAGAGAGTATCCTGCCACACTTGGAGGAAGCAACAGGAAGAAACCGCTTGGATTTGGCCACCCAGAGCCTTTCTGTAGATAGTTGCGGAGTCCTTGGCAAGCTCTTGCAGGATGACCTCCAGTTCACTGAGCTCATACTGAATGATTGCATGCTGAGTGAAGAAGGTGGGACCTCCTCTGTCCATAAGCCAATTCTTTATTTCTCCTGTCCTGAAAACTTATTGGAGTTCATGGCACTTCCATTCTGTTGCTTGCTGTTAACTTCTCTTTGTAATCAAACACTCTGTGTTAACAATTTGGCTATACGGGTCATCTCTAAAATCGAGATCAGTCATAAAATTGGGACAAGGACATATGGTAATACATACCTTCCCAAAGGACAGGAGGAGAAGGAAGTGTTAAGAGCCATAATGGCGAACCTGTGGCTCTGCAGGCACATGAGCTGTCACCCCAGCTCAGCTCCACCACACATGCGCACGCACCTCCCACTGGCCAGCTGGTTTTTGGGTCTCCGCAGCACATGGGAGGGGGTTTGTATGTGCATGCATGGGGGAGGGGTGCAGGTGGGGGGTTGTGGGGTGGGGGGTTCACACGCGCATGCGGGGGACCGTGGTGGTTCACACATGCATTGCATTACAGGTGTGTGCATGTGTGTGCTTTCAGCATACGGCAACAAAAAGGTTAGCCATCACTGCGTTAGAGTATTCAAGAATATATTCTCATGATCAGCCAAAATATATCTATACATTGTTTAATAATAGGACAGTGAGTTCACATGTCACATCAAGCATGAACTCACCCACTCTGGTTTACACAATAAATCATGGCTAAACAAAAGAAGATTCAATACAATGTGTGAATGTGGGTTTGCTTGGTTTTTTTTTTTTAATTGGGAAACTTGCTGACATTTTCAGATATGATTCTTTTTCCTTATAGGGGCTAAGCTGCTATTACATGGACTTTGTGCCAATACAGTTGTGAAGTTCTTAAATTTGAAGGTGAGTGTGCTGCATCTTAGTCTTAGGGTGGCAAAATGTCTAGGATGCTTTTGCTTTGGGAAATAATAGCAAGGTGAACTTAAAATAGTCAAAAGCTTTCTGAGGCAAATCATATAACTGGAGTCTATAGGGTGTGTGCAACCTTAAGAAATCTGTTGGTTTTAGAATAGGAGTTGAAGCTAAGTAATTTTTGAATAATTAAATAATATAAAATGCACAAACAGAATAAAGGTTAAAAAAAAGAATTCTAGTAAATTATTTTTCAGCTATGTATTTTTTAAGCATATTTATATTTCCCAATCCTTACTATTAGATATTATAATAGCATTATTAAATTTACTATTAATTGACTATATTATCACACACATACAGTAAGTATATGGATGTATATATGCATACACATTTGTAACTCAGATTTACATCAATTTTCACACCATAATTTCTTTCCAAATCAATACTGGGAAGTTATCGATAAAATTTCTAAGCTGTCTTTCTATTTATACAAAAAATGATGTACAATGGTAGAATCGTAAAGGTAACGCAGAACCATTAAATGTAAAACATAGAAATGCACATAAATTCATGGATTCTGTAGTGAGAAGTGCCAACAATGCAAGTGAGCATGAATTAACAAGTTGTGTGAAGAGGAAACGGTCAAGTGTGTTGAATTTTCAGAGTTCTGTGGGTGAAGCCATGGTTCTGTTTAATGTCTGAATGTATCTCATGTTTTGAGTAATGGAGAGACTGACTAGGTTTGGTTTCTTTTAGGGAAACAACATGCGAGCTGGTGGGGCTGAAGCTCTGGGAAAGCTCCTCAGGCAAAACAAGACTATCCAGAGGTCAGCAATCATAGGGATATGGGAGGGGAGTGTCTCTCAATCTGTGCACACCCAATTGGTTCAGATTGCCAGAGGAGGATTCCAATATTTGCATTATGTCTGCTGGGAGAGAACTCAGGGTTCCCTTTTCAACTATAACCTATGTCCATGATGGCGAACTATGGCACACATGTTAGAAGTGGCACGTGAAGCCATATCACCTGGCACATGTGGTGTCGCCCTTCCTCTTTTAGGTTTCTGGTGCGCTTGATGATCAACTGGCCTTCATGCGTGCAGCAATGCCGGAAACAGAAAGGTTTTCCGTATCTGTTTTCCGCCATGCGCATGCACTCCGGCCAGCTGATTGTTGAGCATGCATACCCTCCAGTAACTGGAATAGCATACATGCCAGAAACCAGAAGTTCCTTTTGCTGCCCACGCATGCCCCCTGGGCAGCTCCTCTTCCTGGTTGCAGCCCAGACGAGTGCATGTGCGGCCCCCTTTGGCCCTTGCCATCACTGACCTATGTCTTCTATGCATCGGCCTCTATTAATTGTCTCCTTCTTCCCAAGGCTCACTTTGGAATGGAACAATCTAGGTGTATGGGAAGAAAGCTTCACTATCTTCTGTGAGGGGCTTGGTGCAAACCATCATCTCCAGATGTTGGACCTGCGCAATAATCAAATCAACCATCAGGGAGCAGGAGAACTGGCCATGGCACTGAAAGCCAATTCTAACCTACAAGAACTTGGTAAGCCTGGCCTTTTTAAAAACAGAGGGTAACTCCCATGCCTCCCCCTTTGACAACCAAGATCGTTTTACTGGGAAATAAAGATTGCTAAAAAGATTATGCTTGGTTTATTAAGAATTTTGATTATAATAGTCAAATCTGATGTACATTAAACTTAAAGAAAAAAAAGAATAGAAGGAGTAAAAGGATTGGATATATCTTCATCACATATCCCATCTCTTATCTACAAACAAATCCATAAAACACCATGTTTTTAGTCCCAGTATCAGTAGCAAGTCCATAAAAGGTTGCCAAAAGTAACAATGTATTATTATATATGTTATAACCTTGATCAAATAAACCAACTTTATATTCCTTCCTTTTACTTCTAATAATTTCATTCATTCAGATATTGTCATAGGATTTAATTTCTCATTTCTTCTTTTTGCCATTCTTCAAGGTTTTAACAAGCCACTTTTGTAAATCCAGTAGGGAAAAAATAGATCACTCTCTGGGTTTATCATTTATATTTCCCTTTTAAATTTTAAAACTTCATCCAATTTATCTTTTAGATCCAATGAAACATCCTTTTCTTAGTCATTCTCTTGCCCTGTCAGTTGTAAATCCAATTTCCTCTCTTCTCATCAGATAAAATTTGTTCTACATCTATCATTTATTTATTCAATAATATCTTTTGGACATAGTCTATCAATAGAAGCAGACTTCATTAGTGACATTGTTGATATTATGGCTAGTGTTTACCGATTCCATTCTTCAAAAGTCTCCGTCAGAAATTTTAAAATGTGAAGTTTTTTAAAAAAAAATCTTTAAAAGTTTACACTATAGTGGTGAGCAAGTTGGCTAATCCCATTGTCTTGTAACTGGACAAAACTGCTATCCTGCAATCTCCTTACAAGGAGCAGCTGTCTAGAACACTTCTGGGCAATCTCCTACCCTGTCCTTATCTAGAGAGATAACAAGGAACAAGTCTGCTTACTGGTTCCTTGTTTTTTGCCACAGATATCTGTTCTACTTTTGCAGAGCCATTTTCAGTTCATCATACCTCCGGTGGAAATCTGGAAATAATTTCTGCTAATTTGAAAATTGCATGAATACTGTGTAAACTAGGTGGAGCTTTTTATGGAATTAGAGCTGATGTTTATACAATTAATGAAGTATTTCAGCTTGCAGATATTGTACTGTAGTACATCCATTCCAAAGTAGATACTTTTGCATGTAGTCTACCAAGTAAGGGGGGGGGGGACCAGAAATGTCCAAAGGTAGGCACAACTTGAGAGGCCTGTTCTGTACAATTTGGTACAGAACTATCAAAAGTTAAGCCATGCTGATTGACTTGATACTGCCTTCCTAAGCAGTGCTCAATAATAAATTCTGCAGCACCCTTTGAGAAAGACCATTTAGAGTTCATCTTGGTAAAAGTCAACTGGTTTCAACCACTGATGTACCATTTTGGGAATGCAAAATCTGGCATGAATGTTCTTGCTTAGATCTGCGCTGGAATAACATTGGGCTCTTGGGAGGCCGGGCACTTCTGAACTGTCTTCATAGCAACCGGACAGTGCGGCAGCTCGAATTAGCGGGGAACAATGTACCAAGTGATATCCTGAAGGCTGTGGGTAAGCAATTGTGCTAGCTTTCTACTTGATAAAAAAAAATTAGATTCAACTCTGGCTACAGATTGTTTTACTGTGTGCCTCCTGTCTTTACAGCTGGAGGGCTAAGGAATCTCCATACAGTGTGAAAACCTAGACTTTTTCAGAATTCTCAGAGACATTTCTAACTCTGGATTTAGAGATCTACCCTGGGAGTGGGCAAGGAGTGGACAATAGCAGTTTAAAGTCATTGCTGTGACATCCAGCTTGAGGGGTTTTAAAAATATTGTAATGATAAATTACATAGTCTAACAATGGGGTGGGTATTAGATGGCTGTATACAGGCATACAATCTGCTGACCTTTTTGGGGGGTGGGAGTACATTATAAAATAAATTATTGTTTTGACAGTGTGGGTGGGCTCCAGAGTTCATTAATGATTGTTTGGAAATAAAATGCTGGTCTAGGCAGATCCTTTGTCAGATACAGTAGTGGTGATGATATAATTTCTGCAGGATTACAAGCAGCAACATTTGAATACACCTGCAAGCCTGTTGAATGAAAGCACAGTTAACTTTATGGTTCTTTATGGTTCAGATCAAGCAATGGAACATAACCAAGAGCGTCAGAATATTCTCTCCAAAAATCGTAACATGACAAAAGTTCTCAGCAAAGAGGTGATGTGCTTGAAAGAGGAGAAAGCTAAACAGGTTGGTTGATCTGAAGTACTAACAGTTGTGGTAGATGATGGAGCTTGAATGTATAGTTTTCTCAACTATGAAAACTGACTGAGTTACTTTAAGCCAGTTAGTGGCTGAAATCACCCAGAGCCTTGGATTTGTTTTGCCATGATTTATTGAATAAGGAACCGTTGACTGAGATCAGCCCAAATCAAACAAACAAATGATAATTTAGTGCAGTATATGAGCCCAGGCATTATTTCTCAAGCTAGCCTCCTTTATATTGTGAGATTAAAAGGAGATAAAACAATTTAGAATGCCCTGATCTCCCTAGTAGGAAAAAAAAAGTAACTTCCCCTCTAGAGCTTAACTTTGGAAACTTTCAGCCTAAATTTATTTTTTTACTCAATAAAGTGACTAGCTACATACTTATATGTAGGGAAGGTTGTCTACCAAATGCTTGCACTTCAAAAGGATTCGGTTAATGTTAAATCTGTTTTACAGTTCTTGGATCTAATGGACACCATTGATAAGCAGAGAGAGGAAATAAACCAAAGCAACAGGTAAGCGCATTGAAGTAACATGTAGAAGTGATACTGTATTGTTTTCAACACTTTTCCTGATGGATGTCTTCCATCAGCATCAGTGGAATCAAAAGCTGCTGAGAAGTCAGAGAAGACCAGGTGAGTTGATCCCGGTCTTTGGTTCCCCAGCCTTTTTCTTCTGAGAATTGAAGTCCACACATCTTCAAGTTCCAAGGTTGAGAAACACTGAGTTAGAGGATTCAGCCCTTCTTTCTTTCCTTGGGGTACGGACAAGAAATAAAACCAACCTTAAAGATATAGCAATTTCTAAAGGAATAACAATTTTTTGAACCATCTGGACTTCCACTTAGAGTCCAGAAAACTTCAGCCACCTCTCCAACACTGTTTGGCTATATACATACATACATACATACATACATACATACATACATACACGTGTGTGTGTGTGTGTGTGTGTGTGTA